TCCTATCTCCGAGCTTTCGGTTGTCTGGCGTATGCATCCACCCTTGCCTCGGAGCGCCATAAGTTTTCAGCAAGGGCACGAGCGACGGTCTTTCTCGGTTATCCCTCCGGTTACAAAGGTTATAAACTCCTTGATTTGGAATCCAATTCTGTCATTATTTCCAGAAACGTCGAGTTTCATGAGACCATATACCCTTTTCATTCTGATATATCGGTAATTCCTGATACAATATTTCCTTTATCCATTCTTCCTTTACCGATATCCATTTCTTCAAACCCACCTTTAGAATTCGGCCAAAGCCCTTTTTTAAATACTAGCCCAGAACCTTCTTTAAATCCAAGCCCAACTCATTCCTCTCCTGGCCCAGAATTGGGTTTGGAAGTTTCTACCAGGCCCAAACGTTCTTCAAAACAACCTACCTACCTCCAAGATTATCATTGCTATCTCTCTTCCGTCAAACCATTATCCTCTTCTACACAAACCCTTTATCCCATATCCTCCGTCCTGACATATTCTCGCCTTTCTGATCCCTATCGGAAATTCATCCTGAATTCCACCATCATTTCCGAACCCAGATCCTTCAAGGAGGCTATAACTAATGTGGACTGGAGGCGTGCCATGGACATTGAGCTCGCTGCCCTAGCTGCAAACAACACCTGGTCCATCGTTTCTCTACCTCCTGGCAAGCATACTGTCGGATGTCGTTGGGTATATCGGATAAAGCGCAAGTCCGATGGTTCTGTTGAGAGGTTTAAAGCCAGGTTGGTTGCCAAGGGCTTTACACAACAAGAAGGCGTGGATTTTCTGAATACCTTTTCTCCGGTTGCCAAGCTGGTCACTGTGAAACTGATTCTCGCTCTAGCGGCTGCCAAAAACTGGTCTTTATCTCAACTAGACGTGACAAATGCGTTTCTCCACGGCACACTCGATGAGGAAATCTACATGGCTCTACCTCAGGGCTACACGGCTGCTACAGGTGACTCCCTTCCCCCAAACGCTGTATGTCGTTTACATAAATCCCTGTACGGTTTGCGACAAGCTTCACGGCAGTGGTATATTACCTTTGCCCGAGTTTTGACGGCCGCCGGCTTTACTCAGTCACAAGCTGATCACACGCTATTTGTTCGAAAGTCTGGTTCATCTTTTGTGGCTTTACTCGTCTATGTAGACGATATCATCATCACTGGCAATGATGATTCTGCTATCCAGAATTTAAAAAGTAGATCCCAACTCTCGTCTGACAAAAGAATTGGGAGAACCTTTGTCAGACATTACTAGTTATCGACGACTAGTTGGCAGACTTCTGTACCTCACACTCACTCGACCAGATATTACCTTCGCCGTGCACAAGCTGAGTCAGTTTCTCTCTTGTCCAACCACAGTTCATCTTCAAGCTGCTCAACGTGTCGTGCGTTACTTAAAAGGAAATCCTGGCCAAGGTCTACTATATTCAGCCACATCTGACATTCGTCTGAATGCCTTTGCAGATGCTGATTGGGCCTCCTGCCCCGACTCTAGACGATCGACTTCGGGCTTCTGTGTTTTTCTCGGTGAGTCTCTTATATCCTGGAAAGCCAAAAAGCAAACAACCGTCTCACGTAGTAGCACCGAAGCCGAATATAGATCCCTAGCAAACGTAACTTGCGAGCTTGTCTGGTTACATAATTTGCTCAGTGATTTACACGTTGTTGCTTCTGGCCCTGCAACACTGTACTGTGACAACAAATCGGCCATCTACATTGCTTCAAATCCGGTTTTTCACGAGCGGACAAAGCACATTGATATTGATTGTCACCTTGTACGGGAGAAACTTCAATCGGGTTTTCTGAAGATGCTCCATGTTCCCTCACACAATCAGTTGGCCGACCTCTTTACCAAACAGATGCAACCTGCTCTGTTTTCTGCTCTTTTGCGTAAGCTTCATCTTTCAAGCCTCTATCTACCGATTGCGTCTTGAGGGGGGCGTATCACAGATATACACGGGCCCAATCATTAAAAATGGCCCAGTCTGTGTAAGGTCAAGCCCAGAAGAAAGCTGAGAACGTAACAAACTCGAAGACGACATTCAGTTTTCGTTTTCTTCATTTTTCTTTTATTCTCCACAATTTGTTAGAAGTTTGTTAGGAATTTGTTATTCTTTTCTGTATAAAGCCATGTACAGATTGATGATTATGATATATAGAGAAAATTTCTTCAAACACTGAAACGTATATACGTGAATCCTGTAATGCATGCATACGTACATGTGTGTATATAATATAGTGCGTTTGTATATATGTATATACAGGCTCGTTGTTCGTATGCAAATCTTTAAAAAAAAAAGTGTAGGGGACAGAAAATTAACGAATGAATGAGAAAAAAGAGAGAGAGAAAAATGCCCCAAAACTGGGAAAACTGCTAATGTTTCAAAGGACACAAACGCACACACTTCGGTCAACAAAGCTGCTAATGTATGTATGTATGCATGTATGCATCATGCGCATGTGTGTATGTACGCATGCATGTATGTGTATATACGCATGCATGCATGCATATGTATGTGCGAATGTGTGTGAATGACATGGAAGAAAGGGTCGCAAGGGCTTTGTGTTCGGAAACAAATTGTTTATGATTGACGAGATTATAATATTTATTTGATCTATAGATATATTAACATGGCATGATTTTCTCCCTAAAAATATTAGTTAATTAATTAATTAGCCATTAGTTATTAATGAAAATTAGAGAGATTGAACAGATTGGGAGTCTCGAGAAACCCCAGAAAGAGGATATCAATAGACTTTTAACACAGTATCTTCAGCCAGAACATTTGTGCTTCAAGAAAAGAATATATATATATATATATATATATATATATATATAAACAATTTGAAAATTTGGAGGATATGAAAAATAAAAATTAAAAAGAAACAAAAAGGGGGAAAAAAGAAACAAATTGAAAGGGAAAGATGATATGGCACTACTACAACAAGACACAATGCTCTTTACCTCTCTTTTTTAATACGTTTTTTTTTTTTGCTTTTTCTACTTTTGATTTTCATTTTATCTGTCGGTAATTCATATATTCACTTATAATATTTTAGTTTTTTTAAAAAATGTTTGGACTGTACTACAATATTTCGTATAGTCTAAAATTAGGAAAAATAATGAATAGTTATTATTTTTTTTTGTGGAAAATAAACGGTCAGTGTTTCCATTTGTATCACAAGCATTTAATACCTTAAAGCTACCGATCCTTTTCTTATATATATATATATATTATGGTATGGAGGGCTAAAAGAAGTTTGACCATCCGTTACAAAACGCCATCGTTTCCATCGCTTGTCGCCTTCTTTAAACCAACTTGCCCGTTACGTTTGGGGTCATTGCCGAGATTGAAATTTCAAAGTTCATATCAAATTTAGCCTTTTGCAAGTAGGGTGTCGTGTTTCGGATTTGGTTTTAGATCATAATTGTCTGTTTTCATATTGAAAATTTTGTTTATTTCATATTATTTTTAGACCTGTGATTATGTGAACGAGGAATTTGGCGATGGCATACATAGCATAACGACGTATATTATTATTTAGTCAATTTAATCGTCACGCTTTCTCTGTATTTTCTCACACTATTTTTTTCCACTCTTTTTTTTACGGGGAAATTTGTATTTTTCGTTATTTTATTTTGAAGCTCACTTACATATATTATATCATATCTAACTAGAGTTGTAAGCCGGTCCAGTCCGGTCCGACTCGTTTCGATCTGAAATTATTTTAGCTCATTCTACTCTGACCTATTTTTTAGCGAATCAAAAATAGACCAGCTCAATCTATATCGTCTTATTTCATAAACCAAACGAGTGAATCCGCGAGTCAAATATATAAATTTTAAAAATAAAATATCAATACTAAAAATGTTTTAAAATAATTTTAGTATTTAAAAATATGTTAAATATAATAAAAAAAATTAAAATTTTAAACAAAAAACTAAATATAGAATGAAAATATAATTTGTATATAAAAATATTTTAAAATATACAAAAAAATCTTAAAAAAATATTTTTTTTGACCCGCGAGCTACCCGACTCGTGAGGGACTGGCTCCCCTTACCAGCTCAATCTATATCGTCTTATTTCATAAACCAAACGAGTGAATCCGCGAGTCAAATATATAAATTTTAAAAATAAAATATCAATACTAAAAATGTTTTAAAATAATTTTAGTATTTAAAAATATGTTAAATATAATAAAAAAAATTAAAATTTTAAACAAAAAACTAAATATAGAATGAAAATATAATTTGTATATAAAAATATTTTAAAATATACAAAAAAATCTTAAAAAAATATTTTTTTTGACCCGCGAGCTACCCGACTCGTGAGGGACTGGCTCGTTTGGCCTATTTTTTTCTAGATACAAATATTTTGAGTCCGATTCAAAAAAATATGAACTATCTTGTGAGGCAACCCGCGGTTCATTTTGTACCCCTATATCTAACATTGAATTTGTAGAAAGTTGTAAATTTTGATAAATTGTTTTTTCATTTAGAGAGAAAGAAAAGGGAATAATTCTACAAATGAGGAAATATTAATGTTTTTGTTGGTCGAAAGTAGAGCTTTAATCAGTCCATATAATATCGCTATTCACAAAGGATGGCATATTTGGTATATACATACTTAGAAAATGATAACTATTGAGCCTTTTCCATGGTTTTCTTTTCTTCCCTTTGGTAAACGATATGAAAATGGTCCAAGGCCGATTAAAATCTTAACTAGAATTTTATCAAAACTTGTGAATTGAGGAAAAAAAAAAAAAAAAGCAAACGGCAAAAAAGACTGATTAGTCTCTAAGGTGATGTTCTATTGTCCTCTCTCTCTCTGTCTCTCTCTCTCTCTCTCTCTCATGCGCTTTATTCTGTTAAAACCCACTGCTTTTACTTTGCCGTCTCACTGAGAACGAGGCTCTCTCTCTCTCTCTCTCTCTCTCTCTCTCTCTCTCTCTCCCTAGAAGAAGAAGAAGAAGAAGAAGACTAAACGAGCTCTTAATCTCTCTCTCTCTAGAAATGTCTCTTGCTTTCTCTCTCTGAAATCTGCCTCATTGTCTGTCTGTCTGTGTCTACTTCAAGAATCGTGTCTCTTCCACACTTTTACTTATTTTATTAACACACAGACTCTCTCTCTCTCTCCATCTTTCCTTTCCTTCTCATTCCATCATCAACTATTAAACCTCCCCTCGAAAAATAACCCCTCATTTGTTCTCTTGCTTTGCCTCTGTAAGTGTCTGAGGAAGTCTGTGAATCAAAACCCATTTCTTAGTTCTGTCCGATAGAGAGAGAGAGAGAGAGAGAGAGAAAGAATCCAGATTTTTGCTTGTTTCGTTTGGTCTGCCTGGTCCAGTGAGTGGAAAAAAGAAGCCATTTTTCGTAAAGTTTGGGAAATTTCATCGTTCTGGCAAAGGATTGGAAAAAAAAAAAAACAAAACCCAATTTGTTTCAAACGATTCGGTTCGATTTGTTTTGTCATTTGGGGATTCAGGGTTTTTGCACTTCGTCGTTTTCGTATGGATCGAATCTCCGTTCGGTGATTCTAAGGAAAGGAGAGAGAGAGAGAACAGAAGCAAAGAAGAGCCAGCGACAATGAGAGATGACAGCTCCAAGAAAAGCAAGGTTTTTTCTCTCCCTCTCTCTCTCTCTCTCCAAATCTTATGATTTCATATTTAACCTCCATGAATCATATTCTCAAATCTGTAATTTTTTTTTTCTGGGTGGAATGAAGCTTTCCTGGTCCAAGAAAATGGTTAGGAAATGGTTCAACATCAGAAGCAAAACAGAGGAGTTTCAAGCAGATGATCCTGTTTCTGGGGGTAAAGTATCAACCTTTAGACATTTCGTTTTACTTGTGTTGTGTCTTGTTTCGCTCGTTCTTGTTCTTTTCTTGCGTTTTTTTTTGTCTCTTGTGACAAAATCTAAATTCAAACTTATTTTTTCTGGGTTAGGGTTGATGTATGTACATGTAACCAAACATATGTCCCCTTTTCCCTACTTTGACCAGAATTCCCATCAATTTTCTCCCCTTTGGTGGAAATTACAGGAAAACAAATTTCACATTTGATCTTTGTGGGCTAACTTATCTTCTTATATCCTTCCTTCGGTTTTGTTTTGGGGTGAAAATGATGAAGGAGTTGAAGTGGAGTACAGCAGAACTAGCTTCTCAGAGAGAGAGGCCTCCACAGTCAAGAAGACCAAAACTGGTGACTTTATAGCTATACATACACTGATTCACACATACATACGTATATATGTATATATGTATATGTATATATCTATGCAGAGCTTGATGAGTTTTGTACTTTCCATTGTTTGGTTCTCAGAGAAATTGAGTAAGAACTGGGAGCAACAGGCTCGACAAAGGAGAATGAACTATGAAAATCCTAGGATCATCGATGTCCAGAACTACAGGTAAATACACAACTACATGTATGTACAAGTACATTGAATATGTGTGTGTGTGTGTATATTGTGATCCATTGTTGCTGAAACCGTTGTTGGTTCATGAGCAGCATCTTCGTAGCCACATGGAATGTAGCAGGACGCTCGCCTCCTGCGGACTTGAACCTCGACGACTGGCTTCTTTCATCAGCCCCTGCAGATATATACGTACTCGGGTAAATGATTCAGGAGATCTTTTCATGGAAATCGTCGGTTTCATGGCCAGTTTAGTCCTCTTAATGCCGGTTTTCTCCCCTTCAGATTTCAAGAGATTGTTCCTCTTAACGCTGGAAACGTTCTTGGAGCCGAAGATAATGGCCCCGCCAAGAAATGGCTTTCCCTCATCAGGAAGACGCTCAATAACCGTCCTGGGACCAGCGGAAGCAGCCACTGTCACACCCCGTCTCCTATTCCCGTGCCCGTCGCAGAGTCGACAGTTGACTTCTCCGGCTCGTCGAGGCAAATGAACTCTACTTTCTTCCACAGGCGATCTTTCCAGACCCCGAGCATATGGAGAATGGAGAATGACCCTTCTGTCCCCCAGCCACGGCTCGACCGCCGTTTCAGCGTCTGTGACCGCGTCTTCTTCAGTCACAGACCAAGTGACTTTGATCATAGTTTTAGGTGGAATGGTGGTAGTAGCCACAGACCTAGTGATTATTCCAGACCTAGTGATTTCTCTAGACCAAGTGATTATTACCCTACCAGGCCGAGTGATTATTCACGCCCGAGCGATTATTCGAGGTGGGGTTCTTCGGATGACGACAATGGCCCGGGGGATTCCCCAAGCACTGTCTTGAACTCACCAGGTTCATGTGGTGGTTCTGCATCGAACGAAAATGGCTGCAGAATCCCATGGAATTCGTCGCAGTATTGTTTAGTGGCGAGCAAGCAAATGGTGGGTGTTTTTCTTACAGTATGGGTGAAGAGCGAGCTGAGAGAGCACGTCAAGAACATGAAAGTATCTTGTGTTGGAAGAGGATTGATGGGTTATCTCGGGAACAAGGTAGAAACATCGTTCCTCCATCACCATGTATGTATAGCTAGAGAGTGTATCTGCTTTGTTATATATAAATGAAATGCCTTTGGTTCTTGGTTTGATGTAGGGATCGATCTCGGTTAGCATGTTACTGCACCAGACGAGCTTTTGCTTCATCTGCAGCCACTTGACGTCGGGCCAGAAAGAAGGCGACGAGCTTAGGAGAAATGCAGATGTAATGGAGATACTCAAGAAAACGAGATTTCCACGCGTTCATAGTTCAGAGGATGAGAAATCTCCCGAGACAATCCTTCAGCATGAGTACGGTGGCCTTTCTTCACGTAACATCGATTTTTTTTTTACATTTTCGTCATCCCCGGCTTTATCATTATATGCTAAGTTGTTCATTTCCCCTCTGTGTTTCTAGTCGGATAATTTGGCTGGGGGATCTGAATTACCGGATAGCCCTCTCGTATCGGTCTGCCAAAGCGCTCGTCGAGATGCAAAACTGGAGGGCTTTACTGGAAAATGATCAGGTATGTACATATATACATATATATATATGGATATGTATATCTGTGACAGAATCTTGCAGCTGACATCTTACATGTCTGGAACACATATTGCAGTTAAGGATAGAGCAGACACGAGGGCGTGTCTTCAAGGGATGGAGAGAAGGGAAGATCTACTTCCCGCCGACGTACAAATACTCTACCAACTCCGACCGATATGCTGGAGACGATATGCACCCAAAGGAGAAACGCCGAACCCCTGCTTGGTAAAAGTTTAGAAATCGAAAAGATTTCTTTAGCAAAATGCTACGTAATGTTGTTCACTTGTTCTCTGATATTTTGGGTTCGGTGTCTCGAAGGTGCGATAGGATATTGTGGCATGGCGAAGGGCTGCACCAGTTATCATACATAAGAGGGGAGTCCCGATTCTCGGACCATAGACCGGTGTATGGCATATTCTGTGTGGAGGTGGAGTCGGCTCACAACAGGTTGAAACGAACCACGAGTTACTCTACCTCCTCTCGGATCCAAGCCGAGGAGCTCTTGCCCTACTCTCCCGGCCCCGGATACACCGAGCTCAGCTTTTTCTAGACCCAACCGGTAACATTTTCCTCTCTTTTTTCTTATCGCAATCTTTTGTTAAAGCCCTCCATGTCATCAACATGCAAGTATGATATAGCGAACTTAGAGATTTCATTCAACTGAAACTGGAATAATGGATTAGGGCATAGCCATCATGAGCTGTCAAGGAGATTGAAGTCCATAAAACTGGCGTGGTCCTGAGATTCAAGTAGAAACTGTTTATGTCAGCAGAATCTTGAACACGACATGCCGATCTGACATATACAACGGGGTAATATCAACCAAGAAACCGAGCCACGTTTCTTTCAGATCATTTAATGACATGATCTGCTCTTGATCCCCCCCCCCCCCCAA